GGAAGCCCCCGCCGCCGCCGGCCACCGAGGAGAGCTGCCCGGCCAAGCTCCTGGCCTCCGGGCCCTGCTTCGGGGGCCGCACCCTGGAAGAGATCTGGAGGGCGGCCACCCCGACACTGACCACCTTTCCCACCATCCGCGTCGGCAGCGACGTGTGGGGCGAGCGCAGCCTGGCGGCGGCGCGGCGCAAAGCGCGCCAAGTCCTGCGAGTCAACCTGGAACCCATGGTGAGGCTCCGCCGCTTCCCCGTGCCCCGGGCGTGAGGCGCCTCCCCGAGGGCGCCCCCTGCCGGCCCCGACCCTGGGTCGGCGCTTCCGCCTGGAGGAATGAACAGATGTCAGTCGAGTGTTTACAGATCCGGCCAGACCCCGTCCCCTAGTGCACTTTACGCGCGAAGAAGTCGCCGGATGGTTTTCCCTGCCCCGCGTCCCCGGGATGCGGCGCCGCCGTCTGGGACTCCTGAGCAGGTGTACCCTCTGCTCCCTCCGGCGCCGATCCGCGGAGGGCGGAGGCAGCTGGACCTGCAGGGGGTCTCTTTTCTTCCTAACCCCAGATTGAGACGTCTCCAGGACTGGAGGGGCAGATCTGTTTCTCCCTTTTGGACTACCTCACTGGTCTGGAAGTCCTCCGAAGAAGTCATTATTTTTCCAAAGGAATTTGGTTTCATGCTTGTGTAGTAATGCCAGAAATCACTCGCTCTTTATCCCGTCCCCTTTTTTTTCTTTTTGACTGCCACCCCTCTTTCTGGACGAAAAAGATCGAGCATGTTTTGTGGTGTTGCACTAGTTTGTGCTCAGGGTATTCTGAATCCCACTCGTTTCCCGATTTTTACTGGATTCCAAAGCTTTAACCAAGGATATTTTTAAAAGAGGTTCAAGATAGTAGTGCAAGGATTTGTATGGCTTTTAATTTCACGGGCTCAGTGATTACAAACAAAGAGATGCAAGTACACCTGTTCAAACATTTTTAAGGTGTTTCTAAAGATTTAATATTGAAATGTAATGTTTATAGTTACTGAGCTCCTATAGAAAATGGTAGAATACTCATAAAGTTTTGTTTAGGTATAAATTGAATAAAAATTAAAGTGCATTGAAACCACGTGGCTTGTGATGAAAACGAATGAATTGCGAAGAACTGGTGTTGGTTACAGGAATGGCTGGAATCCTGTTAGAGATGATTTGGCCTCATGTCCTGGTCTAACATACAAATCTAGGAATATTAACGCAAGGATAATTTATTTTAAAACAGGAGTTGTATAGGAGAGGTGAATTGTGTGTAAACATTGTGATTAAATTGGTAAACAGAATACCCATTAGAATTCTCAGAACTATTAATGATCTAGAGGGGTGGGGGCATTTCTTGGTATCAAATAACTGGTTGAAGTTTCTTTGGGCAAAATAGATCTCTTTATTTCCTTTCTTGTTTTTGTTTTTGTTGTTGGATAACAAGAAATGTCGAGACTAGTATCACTTTTACAAACATCATGACAATTAGTTGACTTTTTTGTCCCATAAATTTCCTCTTATCTTCCTTCCGTTCATAATTATATTTATAATTCTAGGTCTTTGACAGCTTAAGACCACAGGAATTAAACAGGCAAGCCACACAGAGTACTGACCCTTCTTTTACACTTTTATGATAGCGTTTATACCATATGGCCCAGTGTAGAATTCTTGATTATCCAAGTGCCTTTGGTCGTTAGTGGCAGCAAGACTTAATGGTTTTTAGCCAGTGGTGCCACAGCCAGCTTTTACTGCAATACCTAAAGGGTCAAGTAGTGTTTTTGTACCACTATTATTTCAAATTTAAGTATTCTGCCATGCAACGATCCATACGGGGCTGGAACTTGACAAGCAAAATCCTGAATACTAAGGTTTATCTCTGTTTGGCATCCTCATAGGAGAATAACAAGAGTTACAGTTTTGACCTTTGTGTTCCTAGGATTCAAATGGCATAGATTTATGAAATGATTTTTTCAAGGTTAATAGTCCATAGTAGGAGTGTTGTGATTTTAATTTCGGTGTTCTTGTTTTGTTAAAAAAAAAAATGCATATATATCTATATATATGACTTTATGCCAGTTTCCCAGTAAGCCTCATAGTCTTATTCACTCAATGATAATGTGTTGTTACAAACACTGTTACATGAGTAAATAAAAAGTGAATACTTAGAAGGTGGAGAGTGTTAAATTATGTTTGTATGATAGGAAGCTTAGACATGTTCTTTTGGTTATTAGCTTCCATTGCCAATTCTATTTCAGATACATAGGATTTTCTTTGCCAAAATATATTGTTAACTTTTATAGCTAACTAGCACCTGAAAAAAAAATACTGCTTCATCATTGTATATAGTTTTTATAATAATTAAAAAATCAAATGGCCATATTAGAATGTAATTTCAACATATAGCTTATCTAGTTTCCCAGAAGATTTTGAAATTAGGCTTAGCTGGGAGGATAACTTTGCTCTGCACACAACTGAAACATAGCAGTTGACACCATGCGTTTATTTTAACTAAGATTCTTGACTTTTTTTCTTATGCCTTGTTACTTTAGTGCACTTGAACTCGCATAAATGCTTCTTTGGATTATTTGGGCTGTCTGATTTCAGTTTGGATCTGAATTCCCATCTTGAATTCAATATGTTATTCATCTGGGCTATTAAAAAAATCAATGCCATTTCTGGTTTGTGAAATAAGATGTAAAAAATTTTTATTTTTGCCAAGTTTTCTTTAGCAAAACCTATGTTACAACTTCTGAAATGTGAAGAAACATCTAATATAGTTGACTAGTATATTAGTAGGAAAGTAACTTTGGGCACAATGTGAAAAGAAACTTGGCACAGTGGCCTTTATGGTGAGGCATATTTACTGTCCTTTAAATAGTGAGTCTGTAGCTTAGCTTGTGTATAGTTTTTTTTAAAAGAAATCCCATGATCTTTATTTGTTCTTTTGCCTTCTCTTATATCTCATATGGCACAAGTAGAGGGGGAATCTAGGAAGAAATTTATCACCTTGTCATGCTTTTATTTCATTTTTAACTCCTGAGTGCCTACATGTGGTGACCGGCACCTCCAATGACCTTATAAGATTCCTAATGTCATTTTTATCCTCCTTCCTGTCAACCAGCAATTTATTTTTATGTTACTAAAACCAGTAACTTTGTGATTGTTGAGGGCAAACTTCACTGTTGATAATGCAAAGTGTTGTGGTGTGTATTTATTTTGTCCAAGTTGGAGTACCCTATGGGACAAGTGAAACTTAAGCTGGTGGCCGACACCAATTGATTTGCCATGTGCAAATGATAGTACTGTCTTTCATAAAACTCTTCAATAAAAAAAAAAAAAAAAAAAAAAAAAAAAAAAAAAAAAAAAAAAAAAAAAAAAAAAAAAAAAAAAAAAAAAAAAAAAAAAAAAAAAAAAAAAAAAAAAAAAAAAAAAAAAAAAAAAAAAAAAAAAAAAAAAAAAAAAAAAAAAAAAAACTTTAAAGATAATTGAATACAAATATCTGAGCAATTTTGAACTCAAAGTCTTTTGTTCTTGTTTTAAGGATTGCCACAGCACTCTTTAAATTGGTGGTTTTTAATGGACATATATGCCTAATATTTACTTTATTTGTGTGTTTAAAATATTTTTTGATAGACTGTTATGTCTTAAGTGCATTAGAAAGCAATTGTTTGTGATGGAACTGAAGTGTTTTCCTGGATAGTTTGATGTGCATATGATTGCAATTTATAATCTGGTTGTACTTTGCTTTTTAACTTATTAACTGTAAATAAATTTTAGAGAATACACAGTGTCTAGTTTTTCTAATGATGTCGAAAGTTTTTGAAATGTGATGTTTGCATGTGAATTGGAAAATATCTTAATTTACAATTTGATAAGTTTTGCTTTTTTTGTGAACTTCAAACACCAGGAAATCTTAAGATCTGCATTTTGTGCTATCTTGGGAGTCCATGTTCCATCCATTTCTTAATTATCTAGTAAATCTTAGGATGGTGCTTCAAGGCCAAGCCATTACCAAATTTGCCTGCAATAAAGACTCCTTTAAGAATGTGTCAAAATTTAGGGTTCTGAATCCTGACCCCAAGTTCCCCTGTAGTGATGATAAAGGTCTTAAGCTTCCATTCTTTCATATTATGAAAGAAAGTAAGAGCACTCTTTATGAGTAGCAGCAGTAAAGACTATTCCACAGAATAAGGGTAGGGCCAGAATTTTCATTATAGTCTAAAAGGTGGATAGGCAGGATTACCAAACTCGACAGTAAGGGCAGGATTCATAGTAGAGTGTGGGCTGAATTTGTGTACCTGAGTTCCTATCAGTAGTAGGAGGCAGCATAGTGTAATAGCTGTGGGGTCACAGTGCCTGGGATGGAATTATCATGCCTGGCTTCATGACTTGCAAGTGTTGGGACTTTGGGTGAGTTACTTAAACACTGTGCCTTAGCTTCCTCAGTTATCAAAAATGGTCAGTAAAAGAAGCTATTGGGCTTATAAGGATTGAAAGGGATATTAATGCTAGATACATAGGAAGTGCTTATTAAAGGCTATTAGTTAGGGCCGGCCCGGTGGCGCACTGGATAGTGCGCCACTTGGGAAGCGTGGCGGGGCTCCCGCCCGAGGGTTTGGATCCCA